GGCGGAGGATATGATTTGTTTACAAGTTCTCGGATGTTCTTGATGATAATACTTTATAGAAGAAGAACCAACGAATGGTAAAAAAATGTAATTGTCTAACGTAAAGTCTAAATAATGCGTTCGCCGTTATGTTTTACTCATTAATGACAACCATCCGCAAAATACGATGATGCTCATTAACTGGCTACATGTAACACCCTATAATTAAAACTGGATTTATACAAACTTATAATTAATAAGGGATTATTATTATTAAATTAATTAATAACGGATAATTGTAGGAATGTATGAAAGGAAATTTTTAGCCTAAATTTAAGAAATTAACATTAGATTCTTATCTACATCCGGTTGTATTAAATGCCTGTAATCAATAAAAAATAAAAGATACCTAATAATGAATATCTGTGTGTTTAGAAACTTATTTATAATATGGAGGAGGCACCATAGAATGATGGATAGTAGCACGGATTGAGAAATTGGAGAGCCGAGTTCGAATTCCAGTCAATTCCGTTATATTCACTTACATGGGAAAGGTCTAAATCCTTTTCTTCTCACCCCCCAACTATGGGTAAATATTAAGAAAGACATGGTTCTATACGCTTGGATAGCAACTGGTCTACCGAAGAAAGAAATGGAAACCAACAGCAGGAAAAAATCTGCCTCGTCAGTCATGTATCGAACAATGCATAATTGCCTAAATGTGTATGACGCATGGTACATAACTGACTGATTTATAATACTGGATTTATATTTTATTTTTTTATAAATAGCACTGTATCCTACAGTGCGCATTTATGAATTAAACGCAAATTATTAAGAAACGAATTAAAAATACTAGTTCCCGAAATCTAGTAATACCTTGCGTGTAATGGTAAGACGTTAGCTCTAGGGCTTGGTATAAATCCGTCCCACATTACGAACTGTCACCTGTGTGATGTTAGTGAACATAGGTGTTTATTGAGATAATGAGTTACTGTTATATAGGAGATATTTGTGGGTGGGATTTTTCACCCACTTTTATAAAATACTTTATAACATTTAATTCTATCGTCATTGAATATGGTGCCTGTTGAGAATATAGTATTTTCCTCATATAAATAAAATTCTCCTTTATTTAACTAAATTTTATTTATGAACCTATAAATGTCATTAACGAACATTCAATAAGGTTTTTATAGTGCTTTGCGATTTTTCAAACCTACTGAATTTTAAATTGTATTTAGTTTGATTTCTATTCGACTTTTTCTTTCCTTAAAATAACCTATAACAAATATTTTGCTGTGATGCTGTCATTGAAATATACGAAAAGATGTCTAAAGATAAACACCGCAATATTACTCCAACTCGGAAATTCTTAGATAAGAATGTTTATAAGATTATCTGAACGAGAAAAAAATAAGTTGAGCAAATCATTCACACATACACAATTTAATCAAAGAAAAATGACCTGAAAGATAAGACTTGCAAACCAAAACATCAATAAATTATAGAATATATAAAAACAGATTAATGAAATGAAGAGAAAGAAGTTAGAAAAAAAATACAATCACCGGATATCAAACTATTACGCCTGTTTTAAAATACACCATTAACTATAACAGTTGTATTTTTTAGAACCTGCTATTAATTATAACAATGTAAATATTCCGGAATTAATAATATTTTTCTATAAAAACATACAGTGTTAATTATATATATTTTCTTTAAAATCAGGTGTTAATTATAGATTTGTAGGTGTAAAGCTCACGGTCTAATATTTAGTACGGTGGGAACTAATGGTTTAACAGAATTAAAAGAGAAAAATATGTGAAGAAAGAAAAGAGAACAACTGAAAAAAATCTAATAAATGAAGATATAAAAAATTTTCATGTGAGAATTGTTGAATGAAACTTTTGTATCGAAGTAACAATGAAAACCAATCGAAAGCTTTGCTGTTTCTCAAATCTACGAAACAAAAATTGATGATGAGAACTTGAACATATTTAGACGAAGCAAATCATGAAAAATATTTATTTTATAAGCGATTTTCATAATGTTTACAACATGTTGAGAGAAAACGTTTGACTAATTTTCACTATTATCCATTTGATAACAAATTATTCCCTTTCTTACAATTTAAAAAAAATCATCTTTTTTTGGCCAATATGTCGTCCGTCTTTTTGATTGGAAGAAGAAAAAAATTAAGTTTTTGATCTGTCAGTGAGTTTTTCTAATATTTCAGTGATTTGCTTTTTTTTCGACTTCTGTTGTTCTTTTTATTTCTACTTGTTTGCAATCAAAATGTTTGCTACATTTTATATTTTTATTTTGACGAAAAATCAGAAGGAATGATAAAACGGTGTTTTAAAGAAATCTGAATTATTCGTCGATAGGTGACAAATCTATGATTACGATATTTCCTGACAACGTCTTTCTACTACTTTACTATTTCAAATTTTACGTAGTGGGAGACAAAATAGACTAAAATTACGTGTTGTCTGACATACAGAAAATATAGTATAATACGAGAACACAAAGAAGAATATCTGTGCCAAGCATAGACATTTTATTTCTGATTCATGACGGAGAATGAGGGGTAGATTCAAAAGTCCAATGAAACGCATACAAATCTTAGTATCTGTCATATACGACGTATTAATAAAACATCAGAAGGTAAAGTTGGTTAACTGTGACATCCAGCCATCTTTATCTGGTATAATCTAATCTATCTTACACCTTTATAAGTCTACAATTCGTCCATATGTTGAAGACTACTTGTCATATCTGGTCAAGTACTTCCGCTTTTTATTTCCAGACAGAAGACGAAATACAAATAATAATCTGCAATGTTATTGAACCTGAACTGACATCTATGCTTCAGTTAGTTTTCCAACACCATAATATAGCTTCCCTGTGTATTTCCTATAAGTATATTCATTGTAATTTGTCTGATGATTAATTGTAGCAATAGAAAATAGAAACAAATCAATCTAATAAGAGATGAGAGAATTTCGTTATAAAGTAAATAGTGCTGAAAAGCAAATTGTAATATTAGCCGTTTAATTATAAGGAAACATTTGGCATGCATTGACTAAGCCTTATATCATAATGTCGGTTGCATTTTATAAAATAATTTTCTTAAAAAAAAAAATTTATGAAAAAAATGTCCAGTAGTTGTTATCGCATTTTCCACTATTGATAGGGGTTTATTTCCCATGCTTTTAGTTTGCTTACGACCACATCATTTTGAGACATCGGTTCCCGTTAGGCAACATCAATCCTGGTCAGTCCCTAGATGGGCGACTGCTTGAGAATATCAAGTTAGAACCAGTGAAAGGACCCAAAGCGTGTGAGTGCAACACCCGGTTAAGGTAGTGGAGATATTTCAGAGGGAAATTAGCAGGAGATAACTGATAACTGACATCCATGGCATGTGGATCTAGAATAGTCGACACCAGTGAGCGAAATAAGTTTCAGTTCGACATTCCAACCACCTAAAGAAGGCTGCAGCGTACAACGGCCGAAACATTGTAATAAATATGGCGACAAAGATGAGAACAATAGTCCGAATAATGTAAATAGTGTACATAATACCTCATCTCAGAAATATAGACAGCTATGGGTTAAAGTAAAACTTGTATTAATAAACCACCATTGCAATTTTACATTTAAATTAAAAATTTACATAATTAAAAGTATTCCCTGGCTTTAAATAACGTCAAAATGGTGGTTAAAACTTTAAAAATGAATAAATTATTCAATACACTAATTTGAAGTAGCGTGAAATGTCAAAATGTTATTAATTTCATTATGTGCTATCCATTTTATTTGTTGCTGCTGTTCATAGTTTTAAAGGGATAGGGATTCTTTTATTTTGTACAGTACTTTGTGATTTTGTATCACCAGTCCACGTAATTCGAAGAATGATACCATTGCCAAATCACACAGCTTTCACTCATTCAAAAACATTTTAATCACTGATCTGAGAAAGCGATTGTATACATTTTACATAATTCTGAACAGATTTGGTGTCATGCATGAAATCCATATGAAAGTCTCGATCTGACGAAGCTATTTAAGAACATGACTCGAGATTTCAGGTTAATGATTTGGTTTTGTAGGAACTTACGATGATTGGCGTAAGGTATTCTGTGATTTATTTCCTTATCACCTACACTAAATTTGATATATACTGAGGTATTTGAATATCACATCTAATCCCCGATATGGCAATGGGTGCTAGATAATCTCTTAACCAATATAGATGATATTCAAAGCGATAGAAATTTGGTTCTCCTGACGGGTAACTATGAGCAGAATAACTAAACCATTGGCATGTCTGAAAAAAAAAAAAAAAAAACAAACAAAAAAAAATGTTTTTTTTTGTACAAGTAAACTTACGCATAGAATCAGAAAGCCACAGCTGAAATTTTGTTGACGCTATGGCGAAAGGGGATTTGGAGAATTAACACTTCGGAGATTATTGAAGGCGCAGGAAACAACAATTCTCCTAGATAATTTTTTTTTCTTGTAGCAAGGATCGTAGAAAAGAGACAAAGATTGAAGGCAACTAGTTAATAGATACATAGAGGAAAAACGACAGGAAGTTGTAAAGAGCCGTGAAAGGTCGTTCTTCATAAAAGATATCGGAGAGATTCAAGTGGTGCCATTTCAATCATCGATGACATGTATTTAAAGATATAACATTTGGCGACTAGAAAACATGACGATTTAATAATATTCTTTACGTCCTGCCTTTCAATCTGATTTACTCTTGACTTTCTTTCGTTCTAAATCTTTTTTTTAAGTTTGAATTTATTTCCATCATTTATTCCATAAATTTCCTTCATATTCTTCGTTTCTCTGTAAAATAATTGTGTCGTAGTGGTTGCTACATACCTTAGCCATAATTGTAGTTGATGGCGAAAAATACAGGATAGAAAAGTGGCAACAAAAAGTCAATGAGAAATTAGTTCGAGAGGTTTGAACAAATAACAAGCAACCGGACGGAGGAAGCAATCTCAGTGGAAGAGGAAGAAAGAAGGAAAACAAGAGGCAGGTGAGAAAGAAAGAAGGGAAGCAAGAGACGCGTGGGAAAGAAAGAAGGAAAGCAAGAGGCGCTTGGGAAAGAAAGAAGGAAAGCAAGAGACGCGTGAGAAAGAAAGAAGGAAAGCAAGAGGCGCGTGAGAAAGAAAGAAGGAAAGCAAGAGGCGCGTGAGAAAGAAAGAAGGAAAGCAAGAGGCGCGTGAGAAAGAAAGAAGGAAAAGAAAGAAGGAAAGAAAAGAAAGAGGCGCGTGAGAAAGAAAGAAGGAAAGCAAAGAGGTGAAAAGAAAGAAAAGAAACCGAGAGAGTGAGAAAGAAAGAAGGGAAAGGGCTTGAGAAAGAAAGAAGGAAAGAGACAAGAAAGAAGGCGCGTGAGAAAGAAAGAAGGAAAGCAAGAAAGAAAGAAGGAAAGTGAGAAAGAAAGAAGGAAAGGAAAAAGAAAGAAGGAAAGCTAGGAAAGAAAGTGAGAAAGAAAGAAGGAAAGCAAGAGAGACGAGGAGAAAGAAAGAAGGAAAGCAAGAGGCGCGTGAGAAAGAAAGAAGGAAAGCAAGAGCGCGTGAGAAAGAAAGAAGGAAAGCAAGAGACGCGTGGGAAAGAAAGAAGGAAAGCAAGAGACGCGTGGGAAAGAAAGAAGGAAAGCAAGGCGAAAGAAGGAAAGCAAGAGTGAAAGAAAGAAAGAAGGAAAAGAAAGAAGGAAAGCAAGAGGCGTGAGAAAGAAAGAAGGAAAGCAAAGAGAGGCGAGAGAAAGAAAGAAGAAAAGCAAGGGAAAAGAAAAAGGGAAGGAAAGGCAGAAAGAGAAGGAAAGTGGGAAAGAAAGAAGGAAAAGAATCGACGTGGGAAAGAAGAAAGCGAGGCGGGAAAAGAAAGAAGGAAAGCAAGAGACGCGAATCGGAAAGAAAGAAGGAAAGCAAGAGGCGCGGAGAAAGAAAGAAGGAAAAGCAAGAATCGAGAAAAGGCGGAGAAAGAAAGGAAAAAGCAAGAGGCGCGGGAGCGCTTGAGAAAAAAGAAAGAAGGAAAGCAAGAGACGCGGGAAAGAAAGAAGGAAAGCAAGAGGCGCGTGGAGAAAGAAAGAAGGAAAGCAAGAGACGCGGGAAAGAAAGAAGGAAAGCAAGAGGCGCTTGAGAAAAAAAAGAAGGAAAGCAAGAGGCGCTTGAAAGAAAGAAAAAAGGAAAAGAAAGAGTGGAAAGAAGGAAAGCAAGAGGCGGGAAAAGAAAGAAGGAAAGCAAGAGGCGCGAAAGAAAAAAGAAAAGGAAAGCAAGAGGCGAGAAAGAAAGAAGGAAAGAAAGGCGTGAAAAGCAAAGAGACGCGTGGAAAGAAAGAAAGAAGAAAGAAAGCAAGAGAGCGCGTGAAAGAAAGAAAAAAGCAAGAAGGAAAGCAAGAAGGAAAAGCGTGAGAAAGAAAGAAGGAAAAGCAAGAGGCAAAAAGAAAGAAGGAAAGCGAATCGAGGAAAGAAAGAAGGAAAGCAGAAGAAAAAAGAAGAAAGAGAGGCGCGTGAGAAAGAAAGAAGGGAAAGCAAGAGAAAAAGCGTGAGAAAGAAAGAAGGAAAGTAAGAGGCGCGTGGGAAAGAAAGAAGGAAAGTTAGAGGCGCGTGAGAAAGAAAGAAGGAAAGCTAGAGACGCGTGAGAAAGAAAGACGGAAAGCTAGAGGCGCGTGAGAAAGAAAGAAGGAAAGCTAGATGCGCGTGAGAAAGAAAGAAGGAAAGCAAGTGGCGGGTGAGAAAAAAGGTGGAAAGCGAGAGGTGTGTTAGAATGAATGAAGTTAAGCAAGGAGCGTGTGGGAAAAAACGAACGAAAGAAAAAATGCAAATTGTTTTGCCCCCTAAAACTTCATCCTCTTTGAATTCCTTCATTATTTCAGAATTTCTCCACACCCTTTTTATTCATCATTCTGATTTATGGCGATTTTCTAACCGAAACTTACATGTGGCAAATGATCGAATGTACGAGTGCACCTAGTAAAAATCGAACTCACTATTCAGTTGTAATTATTCTAGAGAGACAAGATTTCTAACCATAGCGTCACGTCGATATGCCCGGATTATGTTTTATGTATGAACTTTAGAATTTTTCATGGAATAAAATTTATTGCAAGTTCTAACTTCTTATTTTTCAAACATCATTTCTTTCTATTTTTTTCGCATAGTTTTGGTCAAACCTCTGAAATTTAAATAAAACATTGATTATTTTCCAGTGAACTGATACAGGAAAAATCAATATCCTTCAAACGCAAGGAACGTGAGTCAAGTTTACGGTCATCATTCTTCTTATAAAATGTCTTTAAGATTTTTATCTTATAAAAAGAAGCGCGGTTTGTATCTAGTTTTTTTTTTTTTTTTTTCTTGGTGTATTCATGACTTCATTTTTCAATTAATCTTTCAAAAATCATTTGTTCGTCCTCGGCTTGATTCTAATGTTTTACTTTCTTCACTTATATTGTCTTTATTTCTAATTTTTATCCCTTGTTTTACTGTCTATATATATTTCTTTGTCGTTTGGTATTTTTATCAACTCTCGGGAAGCTTTAGTCTTCTCTCATCCTTTCCGCATTATCCGTCGTTGTACCATTTTCACCCTCACTACAACTATTGATTTCTTTCTTCTTTCGATAGATTGAATTGTCACTTTTCTATCCACCCCACCACAAATCTTTCTCTCCGTGTCATTGTTTTTCTGCTTTACTTTGCTCTCAATATTTCTTCCACATCGTCTTTCTTCTCTGTAACAAGATCGTTCCGGAAGGGAGTTTACATTGACAACGCTAAGCCGACCAGATTAACTTTGTGGAATCCAATAAAAATGAAACTGTTTTCTTGCATTCGCCCTTGTTTCTTTTATCCATCTTTCGGATCCTCTTGTGATCTAATTTCTTTTTCTTGCATTTACTTTTTTAAACTTAATGTCAAGGAGAATCGTACAGAGGCATAGCATAGAGAGAATTGGGAGATTAACTTCGTACTTGTTAATATTATTGACAAAAAGGTGTAGGAGAGAGATAGTATTCTTCGTGTAAAAAAGGATGTTGAACAAACTTATTATTATTATTATCTAGCAGTATAATCAGTTTCGACTGGGTGTTTCATTACTGGGAATTTTTGCCGTTCAATTCGAGCAGTTTAATTTTAAAATCAGCCCACCCAAAAATCATTATTAGTTACAACATTTAGGTGTAATTGAGGCACATACCTAAATGGAGGAAGGGTTAACACTTTGAATGGTGTTTGGCCCCAAAAAGGGACATTTTTGCGTTTTCGATCTTGCAAAAAAGGAACCTCTTCGATGGACCGTCACAACAATAATATACGATAATTTTTATTTAGAATTCTAATAATCATTAGCGTTAGATTTCAACTGTCTAAATTGATTGTATGTTGTTTTTTACAGACATTAAATTTCGCCTTTGTGTTTTTTTCGATTTTTTCGCTTTCAAGGTTGTAATTTTTCCAGCCAATTTCGACTGAAAACCGGCACTGAAGAATTATCTATCAAAAAAAAAAAAAAAAAAACTGTGGAAACACATAAACAACATCCGATCACACATACACACGCATTTTTGAGAATTATAGATACTGTTGCCGTACTTTGCCTTTGTGTCTTATATTACATGTTACCCTCAAGTTCCATCCAAAAAAAATTTAAGAGACAAAGAGATAATGCATCACAAGATACAAACGGAGGAGGTGCCATTTAATTGGAAACAGAAAAAAAGAAAATGTAATCATCGTCACAGTATGAACAAGAATCTATGCAAGATGTATCCACAGGTATGATTTTTTACAGTTTAAATATTTTATCTACATACTTGTTTGTCCCTTTTGATATCATGCCCAAAGCTCTAACAATAACAGATGTTACATTCGAATGCTGTCTGTCTCAACATCCATTTATTTGTTGCATCAACATTTTCTGAAATGTGCTTCCGTCTGCTGACGGTACAAAATCTATCAGAAGTGATGTGAATACGAGATAATTTTTCACAATTATTTATTTTCATTTTCACTGAATTTCCCGATCAATCGGAACGTTGACATTCCAGAGGATCGTAACCTCATTATTGAATACAATTTCCGGTGGCTCGTGTCGCAACTAATTCTCTTTGCGGCGGAGGTTAAAAGCCTGACATATTGCCCAAATGAACAGCAATATAAGGTCTTTGCGTGTTTGTGCTAGACGGCCAAACTCAGATACTGTGGTCAATAATCTTCGAATAATCTCCACGTAGGAGATTACATAGCATTATTATAATAATTAATATTATCATGCTTTTCCTGTCCGAATTAAATGGCATGCGGTTATCTGTGTACAGTAAGAGATAGCAAGTTCCTTGAATTCTTGACTACCACTCTCATTACTTTCCTATAACCCAAGAAGGTCTTATGAAACTTGCAGTTTCCCTGTGGAATATTGCGTCACATTCTCCGTACGCTAGTCATTGCTGTTGTCCGAAGTGTAACAAGCAGGTTTTCACGGGGTGAAATCTATAGTCTTTTACCTACCTGCATTGGATTCAGATTTTTCCTATTCTTAGACCTTTTTCTAATCGAAGACTTCTCTGCTTGTTTCCCAGATGGTGGGAACTGAAGAGATGGGGGAATTCCTTTTTTAAAGGAAGTTGTCCGAAAACGCATGCAAATATATCGACAACTTCAACATGTCAATCTCGCTTCTCTGCACGGATAACCACTACACTAAATACACGTCGTTATATACAATGCGATTGTCATTAAATAGTTTGTATTATTAAATTTATCTAGTGCCATGGGAAGAGTAAGCGGCATCAGATCGGCAAGTTAAATCAGTAAGGCGAGTTCAAAATTCTAGTCAAATTAACTGTGGACACCTCGACACAAATGCCATCGGTATGAATTCATTTTCGACTATGTGTAATGTAACCAGGTAGAATAAGTTGAATAGTAGAAAGAAAACATTTTGAATTCAAACCAATTTGGTGTGCACATTGCCTGAAAAGCGACAAGCGCAATTCTTGCATTGAATCTTCTTGTAGACATTTATACCTCGATTCAGAAGTTGAAATGATAGATCTGAAACTGTTCCTCCTCATAATCACTTAATAACCCACTCATTTTCGTTTATTAAATGAAAAGAAACAATTATCAACGCTTAGGATGGATAGTGATGCGTATTTCTCTTATCATTAACCCGTTGATCCCAGTAATATATGGCAGCCTATAATATGGGTTGTTAAACTTGCTTAATGCAAGAACCACATACGATAAAGTGATGATGTTTGAGAGCAGCAAGACATGAAAATAATTTACATATACATTTTTGTTACATACACATTAACATTAATGTTACGTATTTTCATGAGCCGCATATTAAATTCAAAGAGCCGAATCTGGCTTATGAACCGCGGTTTAGCTACTTCGTGTAGAAGTTAATTTCAGGTTAAGTATAAGAATGAATATAGCATAATAAATAGCCAAACAGTTTGTTGGAAATATACAGAATTTCTGAAATACGATATATCTGACATGAGCAGTGGGCAATCTCAATCCCCGCAAGAAAGTTTAAAAAGAACAGAACGTGGAGAAATCTATTCATTGGTCTTTGAGTTAACTAATGAAGAACGAACATAATCCCTGTCAACGATAAAAAGGAAAAAAAAGTCATCGCTTAATCAACGTCCATATATTTTGTTAGAAACATATTCCTGTTAAAGATTAAAAAAAACGTTATCGTTTAAGCAACGTCCACACATTTTGTTAGAAATATATCCTATTTCTGAAATGCAATACATTTGACAGAGCATGCTGACAGTCACAAGACATACGAAAAAGTAACGGTGAAAATTAAACCGGATGACGTGAAGTTTTTACTGGGCAGAGTCGTGTGAGACAGGCGGATTTCTTTGGTAACAAAGAAAAGAATAGTGAATTGTTACGTGACATCTGTCCTTCTTCACGGCAGGGAATTTTGGACGATTTCCTCAAAGATAAAGAGACTCGGGGTGACAGAGATGTGGTTCCACAGAAGGAAGCTTAGAATATCATGGACCGAGCGTGTGAGCAACGATGAGATCTTAGAGTGGTTTCAAATGATACTCAATATCAAGAATAGGCAGCTGAAGTTTCTGGGACACATAATGCGGTAGGAGGACCTGGAGAATCTGATCCACACGGATCGAATAGTGGGAAAGAGAGACAAGGGTAAACAACGCGGGATATACCTGTCCGGACTTAAGCAAATGGATGACAGACCGTGGTCTGTGGGAGGAAGCAGAGGGAAGGAACTTGTCGGGAGCTGCAAGGGATAAAGGGAGGGGGAGAGCCATGATCACCTACGTCCTCAAAAGGACATGCCACACAAAAAGAAAGAAACGGGAACGAGCAAGAAGGTGCGATATCTGAGTAAGAAAAGGAATTTTTTTTTCTCTTGTTGTCAGGTGAATGCCCTCACCCAAAATAACATTGGAGTAGAGAAGTTATCCCGTATGTTCTCCCTACATCGCTGACGAATAGTCAACAAGATTTCCCTGATTGAGGCAATAAAATTTAGGTAATATATGCCCAAGAATTTGCCATATATTATTGCAATCAAATATTCAGCTTAGTAAAAGTGTTTGAATTTTTTGTGGGAAATCGATAAGCTGTGACTTTTAGGTATATTTGATTGAAGACAATTAATTCGGTCCACTATGAAGTGACCATCTTTGTTTTCCCAACAAGCAGCGTAGCGAAAGTTTATGGTATCACAACGGGATAAGTCAAGCTGGCCTACTAGCAAATCTCTTTGGTATTCATTTTGTTAGTGTTGAACGTTAGGGTGTTCTTGCTAATTATACTAATAAAATTATATGTACGATTTCATTTCTTTCTCTCATAGTGAATTC